CTACAATGCCGGCTGTTCTGACTCGCATACTGTAAGTACGTTTTTTATATTTAAAGCGTTTTTATATTTTATATATTTAAAGCGAGTTTTTTGGGCAGTGTAGAGTAGCGCTTGTTGTTTGTAATTTCTCCGATCACAAATGCAGACATGGTTTTATGTTTACGCGGCGCGATGCAACGCAGCGCATAAAAAGTCATTAAATTCAGTAATTATGTCCCCACTGGATGCAACAAATGCCTCGTTTATAATGGGTTTTATTGGTTTTGTCTCGTCGCTACGGGACACGGCATCACAGTATGGTAAGGGGCATAAGATTTCCGTCACACGCTTGAGGCATTCGGCCAATCACAACGCACTGGATAGCTGGCCAATCACAGCACACCTCGCTTTTCAGACCGATTTGTACAAATCGATGCGTTTCAGAAAGGCGGGGCATAGAGGAGAAACAATAATGTACAGTATGTGGAAAATAATGTGTTTTTTGAACCTTAAACCGCATAAACACATTTCATTACACCAAATATACAAAATAATGTTCTTTTTAGCAACATCATATGACCCCTTTAAAGGAAATAATAATGAGCTTAACTTGATCACAATTTTTTGTGGATTTCATTAGATGAGCAGTAGCTATCAGGCAAGTCACTGACATTTTACTTTATCATATTGCTATAAAAAGCAGTAGGAGGTTATATAGCCTACTCAAATTAAGCACCATTATTATTCATGCAAAATTATATGAGTCAAATAGGCATTTATCTTGACCTGGGGAGAATGAGCATCACTGGAGACATGGTCAGGTGTAAAGCAGAATATGTAATAAATATTTAATTTTAAAGAAATCTCTTATGCTCACAAACGCTGCATTTATTGGATCTAAAATACAGTAAAACAGTAATATTATTACGGTTTAAATTAACCGTTTTCTGTAATGCATTTTTGCTAAATAAAAGTATCAATTCCTTTCCAAAAAATTATAAAGAAGCAGGTTTAAAACAATTGTCCGTATACAAATGAAACCTTTGTGAACAATAACCTTCATTGCAAGTAAAAATATACGTTGAAACATTGCAATAAACTCCTCATCCCAACCATGTCTCAGGGAGGCCTTCTAAAAAGGTTCATAGCCTCTCCCGGGAACTTATTAGTGTTTAGACTTGCCGTTTAAATGACCTGGAACGTGTGACACATCTTCCCTGATTAACTGCATTATTTATATGTCTTTATGGCCAAATACTTTGTGCAACATAAAAGCAATGGGCTTCCATCTTGTTATTTTAATTTATGGCCTTCATCAAGAGACGCTACTTATAAAAAATAAACTGCTCTAAAGCACATTTGGTTTTGCTTACACAAATCATTCATCATCATCTTTCAAAACACTAAACCTCCTTAGTGAATAAATTATCTGCACCAACACTTTTGTTTTACAGCGATGCCTTGCTACTCATCAGACACATCTCAGCCTTTTTATCTCTCTCTTCTACACACACACACACACTTTTCAAGTTACAAAAGACAAAACATCAGCCTTGGTCCCAATTAGACATTTCAGGATAAACACCCAGTAGTTTAGGTCAGGTGACGCCCCATGGGAACACTTGTTTGTCTCGCTCTCCAAATCCCAAAAGAGCTTCTTAACAGCATCACCAATTAGTCAACATGTACTGTTGAGTGTGAATGGATACAAGGACACCTGCAGACAACCTCAAATAAAAAAAGGAACTTGTTCTTTCCTTACGTTTAATGAAACACACTCAATATTATGTCAAATTAGGCCATAAACCACCTAACTAGTCAGTTTTTCTTTGACGATTAACCTCAATCTACGATCAAAAGTGTTGCATGGTAGTCAATGCAGATATTGACTTAAAATGTAGCCTTGAAAAGTATTTTTCAATGAACATGTAAATACAGGACTCATTCAAACTGCCATTAAAAAACTCAAGTTGCTCTTGTAACACGCTCCTACTGACAAAGCTCAGTAACAATCGGCACGCTAAGGTTTGAGGAGGCCCTTCTCCTCACACTGTGTGACCGCCAGGGTTGGGAGGGTTACTTTTAAAATGTATTCTGTTACAGTTACAAATTACTTCATTAAAAAAGTATTCAGTAACGTAATCCAAGTACCACAATATGAAAGTAATGTAATCTGATTACTTTTGGATTACTTCAAGTTACATATGTAAATAAGTCATAAGTAATAGTAAGTAAGATACAAAACTGAACTATTTTAATAGCTGAAACAGTAGTATAAGCTGTTTTGGGAGGAGAAAAAAAGACTGGCTCAGGCCGGTAATTCTGATAAGCTGTCGGGCACGGGCCGGGCTAGGGCCTATATTTGAGGCCTGTGCAGGGCTCTACCAGGAACTATGATGAAGCAGCGCTAAATATAGCCTATAGCGTTATGTCAAAATACTCATTTATTTAATTTTAAATTAAACAAATGTAATCCTGATAGTATTCCCACTTTTTACAAAATGTAACTGTAATCTGAATACTTAAGTTTTTTGATGTAACTGTAACGGATTACAGTTACTAGATTTTTGTATCCTGATTACGTAACGCCGTTACATGTATTCCGTTACTCCCCAACCCTGGTGAGCGCTCTAATGGCTAGACGATGACTGACCTCGATCCTAAGGTCGCCGGATCAAAACAACATCTGCTATACAAATATTACAGAGACTGATTGCCGTGTCAGGTCACGTTTAGCTATCGTCCCTTGCAAGGGTCTGTTTAGTATGGTGTCTTCATTCGCTCCCACTGGCAGTGAGAAGAGAGAGAAAACCATTTTAAATAAATGAATAAAACCCCTTACTACGTGTACGGTGAGACCAATAGAAGATCAAAACCTCACAAAGTGACCTCTCGGTACAGAAACGGAGGAATCGCTCATTTTAGCAGTGTCGCATCATCATGCTTTATACAACACAACTTTAAAAGATTACAAAAATCACATAAAAAGAGAAGCGGCTTGGTTTGCGGTGGCAAGGGAAACAGGAGCGGATGGCACGTTTGAACAGTGAAATGTGTAATTTTATGTGATTTTTTTTTACATGAGATTTGTATGTGTGCGTGTGTGTACTTGATTAACTATACTTGTGAATGATTGTAATCACTTAAATAGAAAATAATTATGACTAGTGAGGATATTTTGGCACGTGATGTCATATCCTGCTCCCGCTCCTTTTCGCAGCACCGTCTGAACGAATTTCACATGCTCAAAGTCTAGTGTGACCGCGGCTTTAGACTAACAGGTCTTGTCACAGCACTTACATATTGTTGCTCTTTTGTGGGTTTGATTGCTTCTATTGTTCTCATTTGTAAGTCGCTTTGGATAAAAACTACATGATTAAATGTAAATGTAATTCTTGTTTATTCATAATAATGTTACATTTATCCAACTTGAAAAAAAAAAACTAAGTCAAAATTAACAATAAAATAGAATAATAAATGCTTTAACCTAATGCATAAAATATAAAATTGATACAATTAAGCTTATTGTAAAGTGTTACCTGTTCATTCAGTGTGGCATCACACTGGATAGTGAAAAACATCTAAAATCATGACCAGTTCCACAGTGTCAGGACCAGATAAACACATTCCCTTTATTCATAGAAATTTTAACCAAAAATCTTGATATTGAAAATTAACTTTACAATTAATCTGACACACTTAACCTTAGGCAAACCTCTACATCTCACTTATCTATTTTTTTTATAACCTATCCATGTCTTTCAAGTTATTAAGCAGGTAAAGTCGATCCACCGTAACTGAAGGGAAAACAGAACTGAACTTGGAATCTGTAGTTTTTATCTCAGCTCTAGATGCTTTGCTGAAGATGAAAAGGTTATTTTACAAGGGGGACGGGGTGGGGGGGTTCAGACAAACTGTACGAGTGAAGTGCACAATTGACCTCCAACAGGAACTCAGCCAAAAGCTACAGCACAACCAGAACAGAGAATCAACTGCACGCTTCTATTGGAAAAGGCCAAGAAGAGTTTTGTTCCCTACCCCTTTGCACACACACACACACACACACACAGCATGCCAATTATAAGACAATGGCAGTCAGAATGCATTTGCCCCTTCCCTGAGACTGAGTCATAACGAGGGTCGGCTGGAAGACACTGAGCCAAATTATAAGAAAAAAAGAGGAACATTGCAAAGAAAAAAAAAAGACACTCCAATCTCAGCATAGCTACACTAATAGTTTTGATCTGTTTAACCTCACTTGAAGAACCCCTAATGTATAAAATGAAATGCTATTGATTCACATTACATTTCCAAGCATATCCAAAGCATGGTAGCACTGAGGGTTTGTGGGAAGAAAATTCCACTTTATCTCAGATTACAATCTTATATCTGATCCAATGATTCCACAGTAC